AAATCCAAAAACAATAAGAACAAAACCATAGCAGTAAATTGATATTTAGTAAAAGTTTGTTGTGCACAAAAGAGCAGTTCATAAAATGGGGAACCTTCAAATCAAACACTGAAATGAAGCTCAGAAGCATGATGTCACAGGATGGCTTATCATACAGAAATGAAGAACTTTCACAATAATTGATAAATTATAGTGGGATTTTCCAGGGGACAGGGGATTGCTTAAAAGTGATTATCTTATGCAATTTTATAATGATAATTTAAATTTATGATTATCAGAGATAAATTACAAGGTATAACCTAAATTGTTTCATTTATGTTTATGAAAATATTCAAGTGGCTTAAATGATTTTGTCCATTTGGGGGATTTTCAGGGCTTGTCTCAGTTTGATTTGGTTGAAGAGTTCAGAAGTCCAACACAGTGCTCATTCAGAGAACCAAGATGTCAGCAGGGCTGCCTTGCCACTTAGAAGTTCTAGGGGAAGATCTATTTTCTTATTCATTCGTGGTTGGAGAATCTAGTTCTTTGTGAATGTGAGATCAAAATGCCCACTTCCTGCTGCTGTCAGCTGAGCATCATCCCAGCTCCAAAGGCCTGGCTTGGTCCTCCATTTTCAAAGCCAGCAGTTGACTCCTTCTCACACTTCGATTTGTCCTTCTCTGTAAATATTTCTAGCCATAGCCAGAAAGTGTCTCACCTTTTAAAGACTCATGTGATTACCTTTGACACACTTGGATAATCCAGGATATTCCCCCCACCCCAACGTCTGCACCCTTCAATCATATCTGCTAAATCCCTTTGCTGTTTAAGGTAAGTAATTCACAGACTTTGGGGACTAAGGTGTGGAGATTATTTTGCCTACCACATAGATTAATTAAAGAAGGAGCTTTCAGTTTAAAAAGATTTTAAAGAAAATATAGAAGACACAGGAGTCTTTTAACTGGTAAAAAATTTTAATTGTAAGAAATGGTCTCAGGATAAAATTCAAGTCAAGGAGATGACTGTAAAACCCTTTAAGACTTCTGATCAATTCAAAGCAGGGGTTAGAGACTTCCTTATATAGATAAAGGGTGTTACTAAGAATCTGAAAAGCTTCAAATACAGCCCAACATAGAAAGATACCTGTCCCCAAAAGAATTATATTTGTGCCTTTTATGGTAGTAGGTAAACAATCAGATTTCTAGGAATTCCTCAAGCTTTTAAGGGAACTGTATCAACTTGGATTAAAAGGGACAAAGATAGTTCAAGATGAAAAGAGACCACGGGATCCCTGACTTTCTATAAGCAGGAGGCAAGCTGGGGAAAGCTACCCAGCTGCAAGCTTTTCTTTATCATATCTTAAGAAAATACAGGAATTGGGCCTCCCCGGTGGCACAGCGGTTGAGCGCTGGGTTGGGAAGCTGCCCGCGGCCTCTGCAGCACGGGTTCGATCCCCGGTTGCTCCCCGGCCACTGGAGGAGGGTCCCACATGGCGAGCAGACCTCTCCTGCCGCCCGCTGCTCCCCTCAGCAGTGTACTTCGGTCCTTCTGCCTGCTCTGCTCCCCGCTCTGGCTCTGGTGAATTCTCTCACCCTCCCGCGCTTCTGACTGTACCCAGTGCATGTATAAACAAAAACAAACAAACAAACAAACAAACAAATAAATAAATAAAACATGCCTCTATTAAAAAAAAAAAAAGAAAGAAAATACAGGAATCATTGTCAGGGCCATGAGAGGAGGGCAACAATAGATGAGGAGACCAAACATCATCAGGAGCAGAACTATGCCCTAATAAAGGTGCAGTCACTGACTCTGGGGTCAAAGGAGCTGGTGACATATGCCCAAGTGGATTTTAGAATTCTATGGTTTAGTATATACTATGTACCTTCCATTCTGAATGTAAACACCTCCCTCCCCTCATCCTATGAATTATAAGATTGAATTGTTTATTTTTGTTATCCCATTCTTGGTTTGCCATTAAATATTGGAGACTGAAGCAGGAAGAGATGAGGAGAGCATATAACTTAACTTTTAAGTTCACAGCTGTCTGAATCAACACATGCCGTACCCAAGATGCTGAGCCTGAGACATCATACTGAAGAGCTTTGTCTGACCTGGCCCTGATTTAGATGACAGCATACACAAAGATGACACTGGTTATTAATGAGACTAAGGGCCGTGGGAATGGGTAGCTGTAGTTTGTGAGAGGGATATTAAGCATTGTGACCAGAGGAGAGATCAAGAGATTGGTATATAACGGCTTCCAATGAAATATGCCTTCCTGTGTTCCATACTCTACAAAGCGACACGGTCACTCTTTTTAAGATGAGATGTACTCTGTTCCTTGACTGACCTTGTGACTAACTTGGCCTCTGAGCCCGCAGCTTCTTTTGGACAGGAGGCAGGCTGATGGTGGGAGTGATGTGATTTAAGATCAGAGCCTAGATCTCGAGAGGTTCCATGGCTTCCACAGTCACCCTCTCAGTATGTGGCTCAGACTATCAGGTATATGAAGAAGCCTGGAATGAAAGACAACATGGAGTGAGAAGCCTGGAATGAAAGACAACATGGAGACAACAGCCACCCCAAATGTCTCAGTTGAGCCCAGTCCCCAGTAATCTGCTTGCTGCATGCAGCTGCCTCTGTGGTATGGTTTGTTACTGAGTAGTAGATCAATAGAAGGGTAGCTTGAGGTGCTAAAGTGAGTACCTTTTCTTTCAAAACACACATTAGAGCCTCTCATGAATAAATACAGCCAAACCCCATAGTCAAAAAAAAGTCTTTGATTGATGAATATTATTTACTGAATCACTATAATCTATATATTATCTTTAAACTAGAGTGAATTGATAATCATCTAAACAGTTTTATTTGTGTTAAACTCAACATTGTGAAATTATAATCTCAATATCCCTGCTAACTTTTATGATGTAAGAAGAATAATTGCCATCAGCTGTATCACCCTCATTGAAGTTCTGAAATAGAGCAGTCATATAAACAAGGAAAGAAAGGAAAAAAACCTTTATGCTAATCTTTACCTGGGCAATAAAGAAACTCTCATTGTGAGATGTAACGTAGAGATATAAAAACCAGTGTTCCATCAGATGACTAAATAGTCATCTTTAAAAAAGCCAAGAAATGTTTTTAACTTTTTTTTCAGCTAAACAATTTGTTTTAGTTAGACTCTAGGACTGGGAAGGATTTGTTCATTCACTCATTTGTTTATTTGGCAAATATGAATTAAGTACTTATTAACGTGCCAGGCATTGTGGTAGATTCTAGAGACACAATAATGAATGAGATAGATATGGTTCTGTTAAGAGGGCAGGGTGAGGGGCATCCCAAGACATTACAGTTCCTAACTTCACAAAGTCCATTGTGGGTAGAGGGAGGGTAGGTAATGGAAATGTAAATAAACTTACAATAGAGTGTGGTAGAAGGAAGACAGGACACTATGGAAATAGGACTTTGTGTCTCCTTCTGACAAATTTCTTTAACTTCCAGGTGGCAACTGTAAAACTATTCATTTTATAAATTATTGGCACTTTACTACAACTTGACCACTCAGTTTAAAGTTCCTGGAGATCTATGAATGCCCTTGGATCATAACATTTGTGTCTACTTTTATATTATTGTATGTATCCTGACACTACTGACCCACAAAAAATGTTGCATAAGATAAAATATCACTCTTTGATTTTTAATTTTCTCTTAGCATTTCTAACTGGTGCTTAAATGGATTTTCTGGGAGAAAAAGCACATCTTCAGAGAGCAAAATGAAGGCCCTTTTTAATGTAATATGAGAGGTAGTTTCAAATGTCTAAAGTTTACTTTTCCTCATGCCCATATAAATCTACAGCTAGCAATAACAGCCTCATTTTTAGTTTTTGGCTGTGCTACCTCTCAGGTATCTTGAAGGTTAAGACCATACCTGACTCATCTATGCAGACCCTGCAAGCAAGTAATATTTGATGAACAACTCAAAGAATTGCTGCAGAAAAATTCTTGTTCAAGACCATGTCTATCATCCCATTACCTTTTTATTTGGGCATTTTCAAAACTTTTTTTTTGTATTTATGTAAACCACTTTAGCAAACCAGCTAAAAATAACTGAAAAAAAAAAAAAAAAAAAAACAAAAAACCTAAGCATAGAATTGTCGATTTTAAGTCAACAGAAAGTAAGCCAATACCCATGCCTTGCTTCTGTTTTCACCCTTACATGTGAAAGATTACTTCAAAACATTAGTTCAAGAAAATAGTTTAAAAATTGTCTGACATTAGACATAAACCTCATTATTTGTGTATGCGTTGGCTAATGCGGTACAAAACCAAAACCAAAATGGCAACCTATTTTGTAAAACGAAAGTTATCAAAGGAAGCACGTTCTGCATCATTTCACCAAAGTACTGTGGCCTGATTATCAAACAGGCTTTAGAAAATCAACATGTAAAGAAAGGCAGGAATGGCACCACTCCTGCAAAAAACCTACTTCCTCTAAGACAAGAGAAGCTGACAAATGGTTTCATAACAAAAGAAGCAGCTTCGAGAAGGAACCCCTAACCCCAGGAATAAGCTTTCTTCCTACAATTGCTGCCCAAAGTTTGACAGTGAAGAATCCCTCCTCCCCCCTGGAGGAGCTAAACTTGAAAGCTGCGTTTGCAGTAGTTTTCCAGTAATCAAGTCTGAGCCTTTTCTCTTGGCCCCTTTCGGGCTGCTCCTCACCCTTCTCCTTAGTTCAGGAAACGCAAAGTACAAAGACAAGCCTTGGAACCCCTTCCTGCCGCTCCCCTTGTGCCCCTGCAGCTCACTTCGCACCTTCCCTTCCCCGCCGTTCCGGATCAGTCCCACGGAGTTCCCAGGCCTGCAGCTCCTCCCCTTCCCCTGGTCTCTCCTCCCTGGGCGCTCGCTTCTTTCTCCTCCCCTCCCCCATGCATGCATCCCGGCGCCCTGCCCTTCCCCCGCCTCTCCCCCAGCCGCCAGCCTTGTGACACATCCCGGGCGCTCCCGGAGGCGGCCGGCGCGGCTGCAGCACCAGCCGCCAGCGCCGCCGGAGCCGCAACCCCCGGCTCAGCCTCCCCCCGGCCCTGCCGCGGCTGCTGCAGTCATGGCTGCTGATGGGGCAGACGAACGCTCTCCGCTGCTGTCAGCATCCCATTCGGGAAATGTCACTCCCACCGCCCCGCCGTACTTACAGGAGAGCAGCCCCAGAGGTAAGAGCAGCACAGACCTTTTTGACTTTGCAAGGAAAAGCCTAGAACGTTTAAGACCCTGGAGTTGGAGGAGGAGGCGAGCCTCTGTCTCACTTGGGCTGGGAGAAAGAGATGCTGACTGTGTTCTGAAGCAGAGCTTGCCTGCCTTAGAGCTTCACCGCAGAGCTTTCTGGCGTGGGGTGGGGTGTGTGTGTGTGTGGTGGTGGTGTGTGTATTTCATCCCCTTTTTTTCTACTGGTGTGATGTGGTGTGTGGGGTGTGTGTGTGTGTTTGTGTTTCACCACTTCTTATCTAGGGTTATTAGATGTGACATGAATTTCCCAAGCTTGGACTTTGCTGTTGCAGAGCAGCCCCTAAGTGCAGCTGAGGGTGGTGCAGATCTTTCACAATCATTCACAAATCCTTTCAGGTTGCCGAGAAACCCTGCGTACTGCTCACCTTGGCATCTGTCCTTGAAAGGGCTTAGCTTGAAAATTATGCATCTTTTACTATTCACCCACCAGTGCTGTCTTCAATCAGGAAATTGCTTTACTAAAAGGAAGAGTTAATCAATATTCCTAGTGTGTCTGAAATCCCTGCCCTTATTACTGCTACTGTGAGGAGCATATGTTGGCTTCAGTGGTGAATGAGGAGGAATAGAAGGGAAAATGGGATATTTGTGATGCATGTTTGGGAGAGGTTGAAATGAACTTACAAAAAGTAATCCAAGTTAATACCGCCTATGCTTCTGTTTATTTTTCTTTTCAAGATAGGATCAATAAGGAGTTGATGGCATTGGGGTCTGGAGAAAGAAGGGAAGGATCTATTTTCCAAGCTATTACATTTATGAAAAGATGTATCTTTGTTCTAAGTCTTTTTTTTTTTTTCTTTCAGTTGATTCTTGCAGTAGAAGAAAGGTGAGAGTTGCAGTTCTAGAAAATGGAAGGCAAGACTTTAAAAAAAACAGATTAGTGAAAAGATTGGTCAAATATGACACTTGTGAATACAGCTAAGTGCATCTTTTGTTTTTGGCTGAATGTGAAGGAAGTTTAAAAGCCCAAGGAAGCAAAAGTGGATGCATTTGAAAATATGAGCCGATCATGTTTCTTGCAACTCAACTTTTTCTAAGTTCAAGTATGGAACTGGAGCAGCTGTAGAGCTGGTTGAACTTGTCTGGTACTTAAAATTTCCATAAGAGCAGCAATGTAGATCTTAATCCACAATTAACAAGAAGTAGGACAAAGGAAGATGTTTAACTGTGAATAATTCAGTGTGATCAATTCAGTAATTAGGTGCAGAGACACTCATAGAAAACCCACAAGTCATGTTTGTTGGTTAGAATTAAACTTGTGTCAGGATAGCAGGTTGGGAAATTTCCTTTTGGACAAATTTGATATTAATAGTCTAATGTTACCTCAATGGTAAAGTCTAGAATAGGTTTAAATATATGGCAATGAATGCTTTACCTTCAAGTCATCCTTTCAAAACAAAATATTGACTATTAAGAGAGTTTGAATTGAAGCAACTGTCTTATAACTAGTTTTCATGTCCTCTTTCTTGCATTTCTGTTTTGTATTTTCAGTCAACTAGTAGCTAAATTATTTCACAAAATGGTCATACTCATTGACCGGCTTGTAGTGGACTTCTTTATCATTTGCCATGTTTGTGTAATCTGATAAGACTCTTTTTACTACACAATAAGTTACAGGTTCCAGTTCAGCCACTGAGAAGAAGCTTCATTCCAGAAAATTGTAATAACCTGAGACATGGAATAATTTAGCAAAAAGCATTTTCTGCCCTATGACAGCATAAATTATTTTCTAAGTCATGAAAGAGACAGGTTAGATAATCAGAAATACTAAGCGCGTATTGGTATAATACCTAGGAAAGCGAGGGACGTAAGTGAGAACTAAAGGCATTTTATTTGCAGTTTTGATAGAATATCTCAATAAATAATAAACAGACATCTTCATAACTATTTTGAGTAACACACAGGATCTAATTTTAAAAGACCAGAGGTATTTTTTCTTTTGCTTAGTAATTCACTGGGTAGCACCATAGGCTCTTAGAGATTGCTCTAGGTGGACAAGATTGACTAACCTCATACCTTCATGGAGCCAGGTTGTAGTGGGAACAAAGAATAAGTAAACACATGGCTGAATTATTTCAGATTGTATGAAGCATTCTGTCACTAGACCAGATGTTTCTAATAGTTGACAACAAGTAGAATTGAAACTTGGGATTCAGAAGCCCAAAAATAGAATGCAGATTTTTGATAATGAACTTTGGTTTGTGATGCCATTCATACTTATCCAGAATTTTTTTTTTTTTAAGAAAAGCTACAACAAGCAAGCAAATATCTTCTCCAACCCAGCCCTTTGCTATTTGTGTCTCCTATGGTCAGGAATGTTAGCTCCCACCTCAAGATGAAAAATTCCATTTCAAGTTGACAGTTGATGGTTTAGGATCAGAAAAATTTTCTTTTCTCCCCCATAGGTTCTGTGGTTGGTCTAATAATTAATTTGACATGAGACAGTTCAACAGGAGAAAAATTTAATGACGTATGTATGGAACGCAAGACATGAGACTCAAGGGCAAATTGGGCAGTTGAGGCTTATAGGCTGGGCTGAGCTGAAGAATGGGATTGGGGCTTCCAGTTTCAAAGGGGTGGAGGGTGCTTCACAGGATGGTAAGAAGAGCAATTGCTTGGTGATTAGATGTGTGCCCTGTCATGTAGGTAACTTTCAGATAAAAAAGTTATCTCTGTTAGAGTGTTCTTTCTGGGCCAGGCCTCCTATCTGAGTTTCTAGGCAGTTAAGGGAGAAGTAAAAGTTTTTCCTCAGTCTGCTGGGCCTTAGTTTCCTGCAGTTGAAAATAATACACATGTGAAAGTGGCACAATTTGAGGTGACATATCCTGTTCCCCTTCAGTGGAGTGTTTATTTCTGGACAGATTATTGGCATTTGTAGTGGAGAGTAGTTAGTATTTTGCGTCTGGTTTTAGCACAGTGAGAATTGTGTATGTTCTTTAACGGCCCACCTGGGTATCTAAGTGAATTCCTTCTATAATTAAGTAATTATATTTACTTACTTTATTTACTTAGTTAATTTTTTTTACTTAATTTACTTAGCTAATTTATTTACTTAGTTAATTTATGTCATTTATTATGCAAATATATATTTTTGAGTAGTAACCAAGCATTGTGGTAGAAGGGAAAAAGCAGAAATGACTTCTCTTCCAGTTGAGTGGGGATAGTGAGACATAAATTTACGTAATCATGCAAAATGAAGTGGAGAAGAGGACAGTGCTAGAAATGTGTCAGTGCTAGGAGGTTATGTAATAATAGATTTAGGTTGGTTAGGAAGTCAGGGATGACTTTCCTGAGACTTAATGGCTGTCTGAAAGTTGAGCAGTAGGGATAACTTGACAAAAGGAGAATTGGAAGAACATTTTAGCAAAAAGAAAAACAGTATCTAAACAAGCCTTAGCAAGACAGAGCATGGTAAGTACAAGAAACTAAAAGAAGGCTGGTGTGATTAAAGAGGAAAAAAACAATAAGGAATGTTGCAAAATGGGATTGGAAAGGTAGATATGGTTGGAATTCTCTACATATACCTTGGCCCCCCACTTTGATATTCAGGTTTTTGGAGAGTGCCTGTCTTGGAATCTGTACTGACCCTGTGACTCAGTTTAAACCTAAAGACTAAGTTAGAAGAGAGTTGAATGTCTTGGAGCCTAGGCCCCAAGAGGTCCTGTCCTATTCTCTTTTGTAAAGTGCTCTCAGGGGGAAATAACTTTTCATGTAAGCAGTTGAATACAGATTGCCATGCTTTGAGGAACCTTCGCTAGCCACGTGGAGAGACTATCTGAACAGTAATACCTCCTCAGCACATAAACGTGTGAATGAAGATGCCATCTCAGATGCCCAGCTCAGTTGAGCATTCAGATGGCTTGCCCAAGCCAAATTCTTACTGCATCTGCATGATAGATTCTAGGTGATTATCATCCAGCCAAGGCTGAATGATCCACAAAGAGAGCTAGTTTTAAGTTGTGTTAGGCCACTAAGTTTTCAGTAACTTGTGCAGCAACAGATGACCAGAACAGTAAGTATTAATCAGTCCATGCATGCCATCAACATTGCTCCTGTTGAGAATTTTGCCTTAAGCAAAAGGATGATCTGCCTTGATATTATTATTATTATCTTAAATCACTCTATAGATTCGAGAGTGAATGAGAGGCTAGAGTGGATGAGGATAGATGACTTGTGTGCTTTAATTAGCTCAGGCTGCTATAACAACTATACCATAGTCTGGATGACTTAAACAACAATTACCAGGAACTTCCAAAATCAAGGTGCCAGCATATTTGATGTCTGGTGAAGAACCCTTTCCATATGCAGAAAGAGAGCATGAAAGCTCTCTGATGTCCCTTTCATAAGGGCACTGACCCACTCAATAGGGCTTCACCCTTAAATCCTAATCATCTCCCCAAAAAGGCCCTCTCATGTGGCACAGGGGTTAAAGACGGCGCTGTCAAGCTACTGTCAGCCTCTGCAGCACCATTTTGATCCCAGGCCAGCCAGGGAGCAACCCACATGGCGCAGCAGACCTCTCCTGTGTCGCCCACTGCTCCACTCAGCAGCGTATTTCGTACATCTGCCTTTTTTGCTCCCTAATCTGCCTCTGGTGAATCCTCTTATCTCCCACACTCCTGGCTTACACCCCAGTTCTTGTATGCATAAATAAATATATCTTGAAAAAAATCATCTCCCCAAAAGCCCCCCTTCCTAATAACATCACATTAAGGATTAGGATTTCAGTTTATGAATTTTGGGGGACACAAGCATACAGACTGTTGCACTATGTGTATTTGAACAGTGTTTTAAATTTCTGAAACCCCTTGCAGAATTTTAGGTTAGCAGTGGATTGGCAGTAAGAGATGATACAGATCCAGGGACCCATATCACTGGCACAGCACACTGTAAGATTAGATTAAGCACTCGATTTATTTGCTAAGGGTTC